CATGTATTACATAATATATTATACACTGTATTATAATAATATACAAAATTCATTTGACGTACAAAAAGGGCGTGAGTTGTGAAATATTTTAAGAGACGTTTTGAATACCCACCAACTATAAATGATTTGATAAATCAAATTTACTGAAGCTGTCCATCCAATTGTGGTTGAAAAAAAATTATGCGGCAATAAAATTGTCAGTATAAAACGTTGGGATGAATAGTACGTTTTGGAAAACTGAATACATTATAATATATTACGTTAATTGACACTGTATAGTATATATCCATAACAGATTGCAAATTAGTGCACAATTTGTTATAGCTATGCGTATTAATAGAACGTTTATAGTATACCTATATAATAATATATTATAAATGACATATTCTGTGAATAAAATAATATAATACAAATTATGCTTAATAAAGATACAAAATATGCAGGGGGAATAAAAAGGGCACTTATATAGTCGTATACGTATCTGTAAAAACGATATCAAAACATTTTAAATTCAAGAGTCTGTATTAAAATTGATTATAAAGTAGACATTATATTCATATAAAATGCTTTTGAAAATTGTAATATCTGAAGGTAGTCATGATTTTTCAGATAAAAACTTAAAACACATTTTACGATAAATTTTAATAAATTACATATATTTGTAGAGCTGGATAAATAACTAATTAGGAACCACTAAAAAGTTTGGATCTATTAATAAAATTTAAATTACTATTAAAGCAATTAAAATAAATTATTATATCTTGTCTATTGAATGAAATTCATTCGTTCAATACATATAATTAATAATATGTATAACTATACATAATACCTTGTGAATTGTGATCATATTAAATATAATATTACATAAAAACGTAATACTATATAAAACGTATTAGTGTATCGGAAACACAAACAAATGATTGGTTTATTGTCTTGCAGTCAAATTAAAAGATATAATCATTCAACGTTTTAATTAAACGGTAAAAAAAACTCGTTGTGTGTAATTCATATTATGTTCTACATTAATTTGTTATTTTTGATATTGTTTTGCAAATATACACGCATTAATCATTATTCCTATGTCTGTGGTGACTAACGACAGTTATGAACAACTATAATCAATAAAAATGACTATTCCCATTCTCATAAAATGTAAAATAATTCATGGTATGAAAATATGTAATTAAATGTAATTGTAACTTACTCATTATTGAACTTTTAAGGTGAACCACAAAATTTCAATTACTTTATTATAATTAAGTATTTACTACAGTACCTAATAGCTACTATCCTAGCAGGTTATGTAACCATTATTGTGTATGTATAATTATTAATTATAATTTATATTGCAATGATTTCTACATAGCAGCATTATTAGACGTGGTTGGTATTGTACAATACCCTTATAGGATACGTTCGTACACACTAATTGGCTTGCAAATTATTAATAAATCGATTTATACAATAATCAGTAGATATATATAATTGTCAGTAGATATATTATCATAAATTATGATGATTAAAAATTGAAAAATTGTTCAAAATAAGTCATTTATCAAATAATCCTATTGTATTTACTCACTTACCTAGAAATCATTAATTATATGGTATAATATAAAAATATTATGCTAAGAAGATCATGCATTTTTTATAACAATATTAATTAAGTCAATAGTATTGTATCTTTTGTAATCACTCAGTCTGATAATAATATCATAATGAGTTTGAGTATACATATTAAACACATACACAAACAATTACTTTAATGTAAATATTCATCGTCGGGAATGTATTTAAGAACTCGTAAATTATTATTTATGACAAGCATGTGGTACCATAAAAAGTCTAAGAACCCTGTGTGCGACATGCTGGCAAAGCAAATGCATATAATTCACTAACGCTGAGTGCCGATTTAAGAGTGCCGTTTGGCATGCATTCAGACGTTTTTAAAGTATAACAAGAGAATATTTTTTATTGCTGCCGACGACCCAAAAATAATTCGAAACCAACTTGTTTTCTACATTACTATTTTCACAAATATCGTTTATAACAATATATAATACATGGTTAATTGTTATATAATACGTCGTTGGCCCGATTTTACGCCCGATCATTATAATGACGTAATCTTTCAGAAATTGTATTACTTACCTATGTCATAGATATTATATATATAGCTAATATATACAGAACATATTATGCAAACGATGATTTCCCAACGAAATCGGCATTTACAGAATTGGCTTGAATTTTTTATTTAGTTTAAAGTTCAAATAAATACTATTTGGAAAAAAAAATTCAAATCGACGTCACACTTCGAAAAGTACATCTACAGAGTAAAATATATTTTACGTAAATATTTGCTTTTATACAGCATCGTCAGCTAGTTATATTATTATTTGCAATCCAAATATTTCCTATATTAGCATTCCTTTCACCAACAATTTGAATACATTTCGAGTGTAATTTATTACGAGTTAAATGCCATTGTAAAGTGTAAATTTAGAAAAACGGTAAAAATTTGCGATTTTTGTCTTTCCGCAAAACATGTTAGTGACGGCCATTCACTACAGAATTAACAGCCAGTGGTTCAAATAGAGTAGGACGCAAGGGATATCTGTCTTCCCTGACTTCGCTTAAAACTTTTCCCCTTATCGTATTCTTCAAAAGTTATGTTGGCACGCTTAGGCCTTGAAGTCGGATCAAATTAATTTCTCCTACGATCATAATAGGTGATTAATGATTATTTATTTTTAAAATTGTATCATTTAGATTTATCAGTATTTATTATTTAATTTTTTTGGTTTAATAAAAAATATTGACCAGTTAACCTATCATCCGCAAGTAACACCCCGTTAAATAGAAAAAGTCAAGAAAACTATTATGTGCAATGTGGGTAGTCTTAAGGAAAAATATAAGAAATTAATATTTCTATTAAATTGATATCGTTGATATTAAAGAAAGTAATATAGGTTTCGAGAAAAGCGAGAAAAACATTAATTTTGGTAAGGAAAATTAATGAATAACCTATTCCTTCCCCAATGATTTGTTGTACATTTGCACGAGACCTGCAACACTGCATGGAATGCTCTAAACAAAATAGGAATTACTGTACCCTTTGCCAGTTTGTACCTCATTAATCCCTGTAAACCGCTAAACGTTTCCGAGCATTTCTATTCTATAACATTTAATGATTGCATTTCATACTCTCTACCGGCTGATTTAGGATTTATGCGAACAGTGTAAACATTTAAAAACAATTGCAAACTTTGAGAAAAGAAACTTCCTACTTGTTACGGAAATTTATTCAGAACAAAGAGGAAACCATTTACTTGTGAACTATAAACGGATACGCCAGTATATGTATATAATTTCACAACAAAAACACGGGCCATGATTATTTTTATCACACAACAAATATATTATTATGCTACGAAAGCAATCAAAAGTTTTCACCATAAATATTGCGATTAAATACAAACAATCCGGAGAGGCTGATAAAGTTGAAATTAATTTTCTATAGTTACTAGCCCAGCGAAATGGCGTTTATGTTGTTATGTACGACCCACGGAGCGTATAAAATCGTTAAATTTCGTTTGGCCCAATGTTTGAAAGCAATAAATACGTCGACTGCAATTGTCGAAAGGCCGTGCGTGTGTGTGCCGTACAAATTGAATTTTCATAAATATTATTTTTGCCATCGTTAAAATTAATTAAAAGCTGCGGAAATAATATTATTTCTTATAGATACGTGACGTGTCGCAATTCAGTCGCACACATTAATTGCATCGGGGCCGCACTATAACATACAGTCACCGTCGACACCCACTAGTCACTACCAATGTGTGAGTGCAGTAACAGCTGCAGTTGCATTATGTGAAGACGAGACAATACTGTTGTAGCCTTGTAGGTACAATATATTATTATTATGTGTCCGCGCGAGAAACGAAAATATCGACCAACGGTAAATCCGTGTAATAGAGTTTGTTCGTGGATATCTTTCGGGCTGGGCAAAGGGTGTTTCGCTAAACAAGACACGAGTAATGGAGATGTGGAGAGAAGTGTACGGACAAGACCCGATGTCACGGAGAGCTGCATGAGATAAGATGAAACGGACTCATATCTGGGTGACTTTTGAAGCAAATACCAGGTGCAGCTCCAAGAGAGGGTGATTATGGACGTATTTAATTGATTATACGTATAGTTAAACAATGCACAATGTGCATACTGCACATTTTGTTAATCGATAATGAAAATTACATTATTCTCGATCTCACAATACCTCGTATGTAATAAAATATCATATAAAAGTAGTAAGGTTCTGAAGCAGCCAGAAGGTACATAAAACACAGTTGGGTCACAGTGTTATTATTGATGTATGCGATGACAAATAATGTACGCATTAGTAAATAATTGTACATTACAATATTATAATATAAGTGCGTCAATTAGGTATTTTAATCTAATCAATTGCATGGCTACCAATGATGATTCATTAATAATTTAAAATCAGTAATAATTTAATGCTCTCAACAAGGCCGAGTTTGAATTAAGTAAACAAGTGCAAACTTTCCTTAAATACTAAATAACGACGACATCAATATAAAAATATCGTGGAAAAATAACAAACAAACCGAATAAACTAATGATTGAATATTTTTTTTTATTTTAACAGGGTTAAATTGCTTAAGCGCGAAATGTAGAAACGTGTGTACTGTGTGTGAGCACGTTTCCTAACTGCCAAGCTGTTCATTCATTTAAATTAATATCGTCCGTTGTTGACGATCGTCCAAGGTGAACGAGTAAAACGATATTTATGCCAATTCATGTGTGCATAGTGCGCCTCTCATATATAATAATGTTGTGCATAAGTACCTATACTAAGTGTAATACTATGTGTACTATATATTCATAAACAGTAGACGATCGCATGAAACCACCGGCACACTCACAATTATTATTATGTTCCCGTTCATACAGCGTTTATTCGATCAGTCTGGATGCGATTAGTTACGGGTCTTTTTTATTTTTATTTCAAAATCCACCCGAGTCGTGAAAGTCGATCGTTTGATATATTTGCCGGACGCACCGCGAGAAGATTAAATAAAGGTAGGAGCCTATCAATAATACGTCTTTTTTTATGTAGGTACCTACCAAATGTATTAACGTAGTCGTCCGTATAAATGAAACATCAAAGCCATATTATACGATATACCGGTCAACCCCGTCAATCGGATTTTCCCCCGCGGGATTTTGTCATGTATAAAATAAGTGTCTTTCAAATTTCACCGACGTCGATCCTCGCCTTGCTTTGAACTAAATATCTCAGTCTCACTTTATATACATTATTTACGTTATATATAATAATATGACGTATATACATGTTTAAAGCTTTCGTTTGCTGAATCTCTGTTAGTTGGTCTGGCCGGGGTGACTCTTTGGTTGATGCTGGTTAATGATCCTCAATGCATCATCTAACAACCAATCTTCTACGCTTAATTAAAAATGAAATTAACATACTCGAATTTTTTATTATATAAACATCTAGTATATTATAAAGTCGTTATCCGGTATGTAACTAAATTATATATTAGTTTTCATGTACGAACATATTATTGAGGTCTGTGTACTTAAGAATTAAACTAAGAATTATCGTTTCCGAAAGTAAAATCATGTAACGTAAAATCTATACTGTTGGAAGTCCATAAAAAGCAATGTGAATTCAATGAACACATGATATACGTCCATGATTTTATGTTTCAAAATAACCTGACCTTTAGTAGGTACGTGTAACAAAACTTCAACCAACATTGTCCTTTCATTCCCTATTTGACTAGTCCTTATCGTTCTGTACAATAATTACTATCAATCATAATATTTTGTCCTTCTCGAATATCTGAATATAATTCATGGACTGCACATTATAATATAGCAAATATTAATTCTATCGGTAATTTTTTATTTAGATACCTACTTTTCCCAAAAGTAAAAAAAATCCGGAGATACCGGTGTACCTACGACACATTTGTTCCAAATTAATTAATTAGGCTTTTGGGAATTATAAGTTTTTATTTTGATAAAGATATCGGGTTTCATAGAGGTGCCTTTTCAGATTGAAAAGCAATTAACCATGGTATATCATGTATATCATGTATATTAATATGGTATATATTTATATGGCATAAATTCTAAAAATGACTCATCGGTCTAAATTCCTATTTTTTTTTCAATGTGTTTTATATTGGCTTATTATGTTCCATATTTTTTCACTTTTGTTTTTTTTTTAAATATATATTTAGAGACAATAATCGATCAATTGTATATGTCAAACATAATCTTAAATGTTTGATGCGCGTTAAATATTCCTACACACTGTCATCCGTTTTGTAAGTCTTTATCGGTAGGTCGTATGTGATTTGAAATTAATAACTCGATGAATGTAATACCACAAGTTCTCAGACTCTTGTTGTAATTCATTAATAAACAATAATAATAAAATGCCCAGCTGAAGATTTATTTAGCTAACCGGTCACTGAAGTACAGTGCTTTTAAAATTAATTTTGTCGATTTTCTTATTTTAACTGATAAAAATTATGCACTCGAAGGAAATTTCAACTTTTGAAACTTCTGTTAAATCGTTCTTTTTGTGCATTGCTACGTCATAGACTTTGGAAACTGTAAGATTGTTCTGTGAGATATGATTGGATACATGAATATGGAGTGGAGAAGAGTTTTGGACTGGAATCGTTAGATATGGTTAATGTTTGATACTTTCGCCAAGTCCCATACCAGGTACCATAGTTTTGTGGAGAAGTTTGTAGATGAGTAGTTTGATTACTAATTTAACGTGTTTTGAAATTAGTGTAGTTAAAGGAGGCTGTGGAAGCAATCATTTAGAGGGGATTGGAGTTTGTTGTGAATATGTTAATACACACGTGAAATGTTTCTTAAAATTCAGTTGAACATGTTACATAAAATACATAAAGACATCACCCTTTAAACATCATCGTTTGTATTTTAACTGTTCTAATACACACGACGGGCAATTCTAGTTTGAACCCACGAGGCACCAAAGCGCCAAACAAAGTTTTATAATAATACCCATTTAGTCTGCAGTTGATTGGCATTAGTATTATACACTTTCAATTAAGTTAATATTTAAAAATGTATTTACTTAAAATGCTATTGTCTAATTAACAGTAAATACACAAATGCGTTTTCATAAATAAATACATTGTTCGTTCACATAAAAATGTTGGTTAAGTCAACTTGTGTTGTGTCAACTATGAATTGATCTATTTGAATTTAAATATAATATATTATATTATATTAAATATTATATAAAATATAATATATTATGTATAGTACTAATCTCCTTTGTTTGTTCAATAATTATTTGTATTGGTTATATTTCATAAATTTGGGTTTATTTTGTAGGAGATAACAAGTATGTTACAGATACAATGCACTCTTATTATTATAGTCAAACTGCTGATAACTACTTTAAGTGTAAAATAGTTCAATTATTATCAAATTAACTTTTAAGTAGTTTGTATATAGTTATTTTTTATTTCCCTATACCTATAGAAAATTAAAATTCTAATTCTAAAATAAACACTCCCATGACACTTGTACGTCTATTTGTATGCTTACATTTTAATAATTGTAATTTATTAAAGAATAAAGTGCAAGCAAATAAGAAAAACCTTACCAATCTATGCTTGACTTAATAAATCTGTTTATGTTTCTTGGATTAATTAACTAAATATTTAAATTTTATAAATGTACTTACTGATTACTGGACTTAAAGTTTGATAATTCCAGCTTATTTCATCATAGCCTGAAAAATAAAGCAAGAATTATTTTTAACTGTGGAAGATATTATTATCTATTATATTATTTGAAAATTATATTACACTGTCTATTATTGTTACTAAATACCGGGAATAGAGGAAAGGAATTTTTATTTTGAGAAAACTATATCCTTTGCCAGTGTATAGTACTTATGGAATTGATATGTCTTAATAGCTTCTGACAAATTGTATTCAAAATTTAATGAAGTAACCTGCCAATAATAATCCAGGATTTATCTTTAAAGCTTTCCAATTATTACGGTTCTATATGATATAATTGTGTCTAGAAAGTTTGAAAAGCTTGATTTTGAAGACCCAGAAATACATATATCATTATGCGACATTAATTTAATTTGAATACTGATTAATAGTACCTATATGCCACGGGGCTTATGCTAAAGCACATCTGCGCATATTTTGCCATTTTGGAAAGCTGAGACAGCTAAATGAGTGCATGAAAAATGGTATGTGTAGTTGATATTTTTGTTATAAATAGACTGTTTCACAAATAATGGACCAAAGTCATACTCTAATTATTATAGATAATATATTAGAATCTAATTAATTTATAAAATTTAATACGCTTTAACGCAGATTGATTTCACAGATTGTTAGATATTATCCAACAATCAAAGCCAATATAGTCACTTGACTGTCACATTGCCATTGAGTATATTATTAAGTATTTTATGTGATATTGTTAGTCATATTCATTTGTATCTAATTCATTTTTACATAGTGTACGTATAATATTGTAATCTCACACAACAAAATATAATTTAGAGCTTCTATTTTTTTCTCAACACATTTTTTAGGTTTATACTCATATTATTTAGATAATGCAATTAGTATACATTGTAGAATATGTTACAAAACATGAATAAATAACAGATGAAAACTCCGTTTTGTTATTCAATTATATATAAATATTAATTAAAACCAAGAAATCTGCGATACACTATAATTGTTTCGTGGTTGATTTAAAAGCACGATTAAGCTTCCATCAACTATTTAAAACTCTGGTAGTATTCGAAAAATACATTATGCATTAAGTTCACTTGAGTAAAAGTAAATACAGTATACAGCTGTATACACATTATGTTAGGAGGTTCAGTTGTAATATTCCATAGCGAAACAAGAGCTTTGGTGCTTTGCATAAGACATCAACTATCATGTATAATAGCTGTAATTATACCTCACGGCGTTTTATTCAAATATTTAAATATATACATAGTACTCATATATATATATTGTATATAAATATAATATAAATATCGTCTGTATTTTATTTTCAAGTTATTGAAAGTATAATGTCCGTAATATATTACTTGGTTATAAATTATAACCGTTAATCAAATTTAAAAATAAATGCCGGTTTCAAAGAAGACAAATATTTTGTTTTCTATCGAACATTGATTTAAGATGTACAGGTAAAACTTTAAAATATCCACACCCGAAATATCAAATTATGCTTGATATCAAATGGAAAATAATGTATAGTTTCATAATTGCTAGTGTTTTTTTATTAATTTAAAATTATTTTTTTTTTAATCCATCAGTGCCTTTGCGATCTGCCAACTGCAGCAGTTACCTCCCATCTCTTTTCTGTAAGCAACTAGGCGATGAAACAGCAGTGGAACATGGTGATAACCGCTACTACCGTGGTATTAGTCACTGCGGTCGTCCGTTGCGCGGCCGGTTACGACATACTGGCGATATTCCCGTTTAGCGGAAAAAGTCATTTTCACATGTTTCGCACTGTTTCGGAAGCCCTGACGGCTAGCGGACACCACCTCACCGTTGTCGGACACTTCCCCAAGACCCCGAAGGAACCCACGAGACCACAGCAGTCGCAAAATGGAGACATCAATGGCGGTGGAGACGAAGGTCGTGGATCTGGGTCATACACTGATTACAGTCTGTTCGGCTCGATGCCGGTGTACGAGAACTTCACAACCGACGAGGTGACGGGCAACGGTTATCTGAAAGAGATGCTAATCATCCTGCAGGATGGTTTGGATAACTGTGAGGCAGTTTTATCTTCGGGTCGACTCAGCCAGCTCCTTCAGTCCCGGGCCAAGTTTGATCTCGTCTTGGTCGAGGTAAGTGTATGCACATAATAATATAATATTACACACTATTGGCTATACACTATTTACAGCTATATCATATAGCCTGTATGAGCCAACCTTCGATCGGACGAAGAACATAATATAAATCATTGTTAATTTATTGTTATAAAGTGTAAAATTATTTTGATGGTTGATTTATTGATGCCGAAAAATCCCCATTGCCGAAGTCATCGATTCCTAAACAATACGATAAAATACTGTATTTTTTGTGAATTTGTGAGTATTAAAGCACAAAAAAAAATAAAAAAGTTTCTTAAATCTATGTTTTAGATATTTTACGAGTTGAACGAAGTGGCGCCTTCAAGTTTCAAAACAATACTTATAAATCATTTAATTCGTTGCATTTCAAAAACGACTTTTTCTCGGTTAAACCAAAAGTAGTATTACTTATAAGCTTTATTAAAAATAGATTCCATTGTTCATACGAGTTTGCATAATCTTTCGAGTATTAATATTTACCATCTATAACCAGAAACCCAGTTTCTAACCTAGGTTCTCGTGACATCATGAAAACTTTAAGAAACCATATGTTATAGGTACCTAATACCATATTTTTAGATTCTGAGCGGAGCGATGAATGTATTGGTTTTACAATGATGTGTGTTTTTTTTATATTTTTATATTTTTATATTTTTATATTTTTTTTTGTGTCTGTCATCACGTTTTGGGACAGTAAAAGTGCTTCGATTTTCTTCAATAGTACCTTTTCTGATAGGAAAGTGAATCTAGTTGGTACTTTGGGGGGTCAAAAGTAAACATTTTCCAGTAGTTTTCACAAGCGCCGGCAAAAACAACATAAAAATTAAGGAAAAACGGGAATTTTTACGCAAAATCGATTTTCCAAAAAATCGAATTTGGTTTTTGGTGTAACTTTAAAACAAATAACCGTAGATACATGAAATTTTCACTGGTTGTTTATATTTGCATTTTCTATACACGATAACATTTTCAAAATATTTTGATTTATTTTGAACTGTTTAGGGACATTTTCATTTTTCTTTTTTTTTTAGTTATTTTTCTAGAAATATCAATAAAATTTTATTTGTTGGTTGCGAAAGCTTGAAAATTTTATAGAAGGCTCCTAATATGTTGCTTCAAAGGCAGATGAAAAATATTAAAAATCCTTAGTCACAATTTTTTTTTTATAAGCATTTAAAGTTCAAAAATTGACAAAATATGGAAAAATCACGAAAATTAGCAAATTATTTTGAGTTAAGAATTCGTAAAAGTTTTTCTTTTTAAATCTAAGATTTGAAAATGAAACACAAGATTCCTTATAAGATTAACTACCTTTATTAATAAAAAAATCTCTACCGGACAGTCAAATTAAATTTTTATGAGCGTTTGAAATTCAAATTTTTACAACATTGGATATTCACTCGATTACTCATGTAGCGATTTCTTTATTTTGTTGCAATTCAAAAACGAACAACTGAAAATACATGAAAATTTCACTGAATGTTTAAATTAGCATTTTCTATACACCATACAATTTTGAAAATATTTTGACTCTTTTTGCGCTGTTTATGGACATTTACAGCTTTCAATTTTTTTTAGTTTTTTTTTCTATAAATATCAATAAAGTTTTATCTGTTGGGCCAAAAAGTGTAAAAATTTAATACAAGGCTCCTGATATATTGTTACAATATCAGTTGAAAAATATTAAAAATACATTGGCACAATTTTTTTTTATAAGCATTTAAAGATCAAATTTTGACAAAATTTATCAAAATCTCGAAAATTATCAATCATTGTAATTAATAAATTATAAAATGTTCAGTTTTTATAGCTAAGGATTGCAAATTTTAAACAAAGGTTCTCATAAATAGTTCATACTGTAACCAAAAAATCTAAAAAATATATGAACACAGTTATTTTTTATAGACATTTTAAATTCAAATTTGGACGAAATTACATATTAAAAAAACCTAGAATAACTATTATAGTTATTTTGTTGTGATTGAATAATATTATTCGTGGGTACTTGAAACTTCTAAAGTGTACTATTATATATCTATGATAGTATCACGGTTTTTGTTGATGTATAACGCGTTATAAGTACCTATAATGGACATTGTGATATGATTAATTTGGAATTTATTATAGGTACCTATTATAGTTCAATTTTTTGTTTAATACCATAGATATGTATATAATATGTCTTATACATAGACTAACATACCGTCTCCGCTCAGAATCGTTTTTCTTATACAATGATATTATATCGTTGAATTCAAATTTAATATCATCCATTATACAGTGACCCACTTGTAACCTACTGTACAGTAGAGCGACACCCACTTACCTACCTTTTTTTTTTTTAATTCTGAGCGCAGCGAGGAACCTATAGTTTTTACAATGATGTTTATTTTTTTATTTTTTATATCATGTATACAAAATTTCTACCAGAAGTAGTGCTTCGATTTCAACATATAGTACCTTATCTTTTAGCAAATTTGATCAAGATGGTACTTTAAAGACGTCATTTTTCGATTTTTTTCAATAGTTATTTAATGCAACGGGAAAAACCACCGAAAAATTACGAAAAACCACTAAAAATGGGATTTTAATTTCTAACGCATTGTTTACCACCATAAAAATGAATAAAAAATTATAATATTATAATATTAATTCAACTTACATGGTATAATAAATAATAACAATATAAAATATCCAGACTGACAAACCGTCTCCGCTCAGAATCGTTTTTCTTGTACAATGATATTATATCATTGAATTCAAGTTTGATACAATCCATTATACAATGACCCACTTGTAACCTACTGTACAGCAGAGCGACATCCACTTATCCGCTTTTTTAATAACATAATGATCAACTCGGATCAACTATGGTAATTCCACAGAATATGTCTGAATCTTTTTTAAGATTCTGAACGAAGTGATGAATGTATTGATTTTACAGTGATGTGTATATTTTTTTTTTTTGGGGGGGGGGGGGGGGGGCAGTAAAAGTGTTTCAATTCAAATGCGCCAGAAAAAAACCTAAATAAAAATTAGGGAAAAACGTGAATTTTTACACAAAACCAGTTTTCGACAAAATTAATTTTTTTATTTTGCTGTTTCTCAAAAACTAAAAAATTTAGACACATGAAATTGTCTCCAGATGTTTTTTATGCGTCACCTATACATTATATAACTTTTGAAAGATTTTGAGGTTTTTTGAGCCATTTATGAACAGTTGAAATTTTCAATTTTTTTTAGTTTTTTTTTCTATAAATATCAATAAAGTTTTATCTGTTGGGCCAAAAGGTGTAAAAATTTAATACAAGGCTCCTGATATATTGTTACAATATCAATTGAAAAATATTAAAAATACATAGGCACGATTTTTTTTATAAGCATTTAAAGTTGGAATTTTGACAAAATTTATCAAAATCTCGAAAATTACCAATCGTTGGAATTAAAAAATTATAAAATGTTCAGTTTTTATAACTAAGAGTTGAATATTTAAAACAAAGATTCTCTTAAATAATTCATACTGTAACCAAAAAATCTAAAAAATATATAAACACACTTATTTTTTACAGACATTTTAATTTCAAGTTTAGACAAAATTTCATATTTAAACCAAGAATTACGATTTTAGTTATTTTGTTGTGATTGAATAATATTATTCGTGGGTACTTGAAACTTCTAAAGTGTACTATTATATATCTATGATAGTATCACGGTTTTTGTTGATGTATAACGCGTTATAAGTATCTAATGGATATTGTGATATGATTAGTTTGGAATTTATTATAGGTACCTATTATAGGTCAATTTTTTGTTTAATACCATAGATATGTATATAATATGTCTTATACATAGACTGACATACCGTCACCGCTCAGAATCGTTTTTCTTATACAATGATATTACATCATTGAATTCAAATGTAATACCATCCATTATACAGTGACCCACTTGTAACCTACTGTACAGCAGAGCGACACCCACTTGCCCACCTTTTTTATTTCTTATTTATCAAGGTATTGATAGGTTACGGTATGATATTTCTTATACTTTTAAATTCTAAACGGAGCGAGTCAGCTAGTTGTTTTACAGTGGTGTTTATTTTTGTTTTTTTTTTATATCCTGTATACAAAAGTTCTACCAGAAGGAGTTCTTCGATTTCAACATATATTAGTACCTTATATTTTAGCAAATTAGATCAAGATGGTACTTTAGAGAGGTCATTTTTAAAAATTCTCAATAAATATTTAATTCCAAGGGAAAAAAACACCGATAAATTACGAAAAAACGCTAAAAACCGGATTTTAATTTCTAAAGCTTTGTTTATCGCCATGGTAACGAATAAAAAATAATAATATTATAATATTAATTCAACATACAGACCATAAAAAATAATAACAATATAAAAAATCCAGACTTACAAACCGTCTCCGCTCAGAATCGTTTTTTTTATACAATGATATTATATCATTGAATTCAAGTTTAATACAATCCATTATATACATTGACCCACTGTACCCCAGTTGTAACCTACTGTACAGCACAGCCTACTTACCCGCTTTTTTTTATGTGTAAACTAAATCATAAATAAAATGTTAAATCAATATGTTATAAGGTCTATAGGTAGTTTGTCTGTTCTAAATCTTAGATGATTTGTATTACAACTTGCCATTGCACACCCACTGTGCCACTGTGATAGTACAAATGGTTTTGTTTGAAAACATTATTTATTCTAGTAAAAGCTATTTTAACTCCTGAAAATCATTCTGATTATGCTTGCAATATAATTTAAAAGACATGTTGAACTAGATGAAAAATTATTTATTTACAAATATAAAAAAATCACCCAAATATTACAATAACTAATATTTGTTAGTCTAATTTCCACAAAAAAAAAATTATATTTTACCTCTATAAACTAAACCCTATTTTCTTGTTTTTTTGTAAAACTAAAGTTTTTATTGCTAATTTTTAATAGGAATCAAATTTGAGTA